AAAAAAGCTTCCTTTGAGAAGGTGAAATACTTGGCAATGACTGTGAGCACTTCACTGCATTAAGGAATACTTTATAGTAACATTTTGTGAATAAGTAAATGTTTTTGCCTTGTAAACTGAATAAATATGAACATAAAGTATGCTTAAATAAGTAACTGGTGACCGGCAAGACCATTTTTATTAATTACTCAGGTGTCAGGACGCTCAGCTGAGTATTCCCCTCAGGTAAGATTTTAGCCACACTGATGGAAATGATCTCAGGATGGTAATGTCAGTCCACCATTTTGATCCACACTAAAATATCCTATATTATTATTATTATTATTATTTGTGATCCACAGGAAATAAATCCTACTGATTTTAATTATCCCAGAATTATGGCCATCAGCCTCAGCTGTACTTAATATTTAGTGCAAACTCACAAGGAACCTAACACACTAAGATACTAAACATGCTTTAAGTGATGGGTTAATGGTTTTAATTAAATCTCCTTCAAATTCTTTTTTAATTTTCACCACTGAATTGGCCTACAACTTGCCGTTTACTCCAGAGTGTCACTGGGATGTGAGTCAGACAATGGGTGATGCTCAGTGTGACTGCATAGCACGGTGTCCCACTTGTGGTGGTGTTGCAAACCATGTGACACAATGAATAAAGCATGTTGTGGCGGGCAGCAGGGTGGGTAGGGACTGACAAGAGAACAAGCTCACCCAGTGTTTTGGTGCCGGCAGACAAGTCGAAAACCCTTAAAGTTTAATGGAAGCCACACCGCAGAGAGCAGAGGAGCAGCACGTGGATGTGTGTGTGGGTCCTGTGGTTTCACTGGGGCTGCTAGCTGCCACACACAGGCCTGTAGCCAGTGGGATGTAATGGTGATGCTAATAAAGTCCACAGCCTACCTCATGTGTGATGGATTAGTGTCACACTGCACTAGTGGGAAGAGAATTAGACCACTTAGCCTTTATTTGTGGCCAAAGAGTGTTTCGGTTGAATCCCTTTGCTCTGGAGCTGCTGACCTCTCAGAATCCTGTGGTTTCACTGTGCTCCTCTCAGCTTCTTGCTGTCTTAATGGAGATCTGGACTTCCCACATTCCTTCTTCTGTGACCGCTTACAATGTCTCTTATTGTCTTGTTCCTCTTGTTTATGTGCAAACCCCATTTTCAGAAAAGCTGGGACAAATGCACTGCAAATAAAATTTGTGATTTGTTATCTTGCTTGAACCATTATTTAACTGACAAAGGTACAAAGAAAAAGTGTTTTGTGTTTTCACTGACCAACAAAGTTAGAATTTGATGCCTACAACACACAAAAAGTTGGAACAGGGGCTAAATAAGACAGAAAAGTTTATAGAATATTTTAGTAACACAGCTCTGGAAGATTCCAAAGTTAGCAGGTTAATTGGGAACAGGTGAGGTTATCATGACTGGCTATAAAAGGAACATCCACCAAAGGCTCAGTCTTTGCAATAAAGAATGGGCTGTGGATCATTGCATTGTGCCAAACTTCACAAGAGAATTGTCAGTCAGTTCAAAAGAATATTCCTCAAGGCAAGACTGTAAATTTAGGTCTTTCTCCATCTACAGTACACAATATTCTGAAAAGATTCAGGTAATCCAGGGAAATCTTATTGTGTAAAGGCCCAGGGCAAAAACCACTGTTGAATGTGTGTGACCTTCGAGCCTTCAGGAGCCACTGCATGAGAAACCCTCATGCTACTGGGATGAATATAGCCACATGGGCTCAGGAGTTCTTTGGAAAACTGTTGCCATGTAACACAGTCCACCACCGCATCCAGAAATGCAACCTGAAAGTCTGTTACACAAGGCGGAAGCCATCCATCAAATCTCTGGGCCCGAGCTCATCTCAGATGGACTGACAGACAGTGGAGATGTTCTGTGGTCAGATGAGTCCATGTTTCAGCCTATTTCTGGGAAAAATGGACATTCGTGCCAAAGATAGAAAAGACGATCCAGACTGTTAGCAGCAAAAGGTGCAAAAGCCAGCATTTGTGATGCCATGGGGGTACACCAGTGCCCAGGGCATGGGTGACTTGCATATGGGTGACGGTACCATCCCGCATAAGCATATATTGGGATTGCGTGCTACAGTAGCATGGCTTGATAGACACAGAGTGCAGGTGATCAACCGGCCTGCCTGCAGTCCAAATCTGTCTCCTATTGAAGATGTATGGCACATGACGAAGAGGAGGATCAGGGAACAGCGACCACAGACTGTTGAGCAGCTGAAGTCTTGTGTCCAGCAAGAATGGGCCACTTACACTTGCAGTGATTAGTATCGTCAGTTCCCAAACAATTAAACAGTGTAATGCAGAGGAAAGGTGATGTAACACAGGCATAAACAGGCCTCTGTCCCAGTTTTTTTTTATGTCTTGCAGGCATCAAATTTAGCATTTGTTTATATTTACAAAATGCAATTAAGTTGGTCAGTAAAAACATTGAAAACCTTTTTTTTTTTTTTATTCTGATAGTGAAATAAAGGTTCAAGCAAAAAATTCACAGATTTTTAGTTTTTCCTGCATTTTGGAAAATGGCCCAACTTTTCTGGGAGTGGGGTTTGTGGCTGCACTTCTTTTTCCTCTCTTTGTCTTTTTTATTTCATCGCCTTCTCCTTGTGGCTCCAGGCCAAAACCAAAACCAAGATTAGTAGCTTTGCTGGTATGCATGAGTTTCTGGGTTTTGGAAGACATTCACAAACAATGTTTTCCATTTTATAGGGATACACAATCAGAAAATGCTCTCGTGATATTTCAAGTGTCAGTGCTTTTCCATCTACCTCAAATTCCTCCCTGCCAAGTCATCCCTATTCTTGAACCCAGGAAACAAACAAACAAAAAAAAAAAAATGCCAAAAGCAAATTAATGTTTTTTTTAATGGTGTTGTTAAATTTGTACATTTCTGTGCAAAAAAAAAAAAAAAAACACTCAGCTTTAATGTGACTCTAAAATACAGAGCAACATTCACTCCATGATACGTTTGGTATTTGAGTCATGGTGAATCAGAGTAGAGTTGAGAAAACTGTATCATAAGTGTGTGTCTGTGTGTGAGTGTCTCAGGCTCCATTACCCATATGGGATGGCCGAACTTCGTCTACCAAATCCAGGGTGTCAGGAAGCAAATTGGAAATGCCAATTTCACTTTCCACTGCTCCGTATCTTATCTGTCCCTTAGCCTCATCCCACCACTTAGCTCATGTGTAAATGAATAAGGTCCTCTTACTTGTCAACCAGTGTCCGATTCCTGTCTGCTTCTGCCGTTCTGACCACCTCTCCTCCTTCCTCTCCCCTTCTTCTCTTCTCTTCTCCTCATCTTTTCCTGATTTTCTACTCGTCACCTGTTCTCTCCTTTCTCACCATTGCCTCTCCTCCCTTCACTGCCCCGTCTTCGTTCTTCCATGCCTATTCAACTGTAACCCATCTGTTATTTCTCCATGAGTATTTATAAAATATGTCTGTTTTGGTGAATATGGATTTATGCACCCTCGCTTCACTGTTTCCAGCGAACCAGCCGGATTGAATCATAATGCAAATAAAACAATAGCTCATATGCAATTCCAAATTTGCACTAAATCTCTTATAAATCAACAATTTCTCACCCACTCCTTGTCTGTGTTTCCTGTCTGTCTCAGTATGACTACGAGGGCAGTGACATCAGTGACCTGCCAGTCGACCTCTCAGTGGCGTGGAATGGAAACTTTGTCATTGACAACCCATTTAACATTCAAGGTAGGACATTTTCTTTCCTTTTTGTTGCACCGCCTTCCTTGTCTATTGGTGGAGCATGTGGGCATTGTTCCATGGCAAAAATCTGATTTATTCCTGCTTTTTTTTTGTCTGTAATGGTCTTCTCTGGAGCGACAAACCTGTGGGCCTGCTTTTCTCCTTCATAAAAAATCTATAATTTAATTTTTGACAACCATCAGGGAGAAAGGTGAAAGTGTACCATCCATTTGGAAAAAACACTATTCTTGTCTCGGGGATAAAAGAGGGGCCGAGAGAGTGATTGATGGATGGTGATGATAACAAACATCCCACACAGAAATTAATAGGGATGATGTTAGAGAGGAAGATAAACAAATGGAGAAACCAATAGGCAGACAAAAGGACGAAGAAGAAGAAAGATGGCTGGATGTCAGGTTGATAAATGTGCCGTGTAATAGTAGGGGGTAGATGAGAATGAAGGGATTGATAAAAGAAAATAGAAAGCAACATGGAGGGGCGTCATTTATTAATCGCTATTTATGCATGAAGTGGAAAACAATTACCCGTTTTAAATTCTTTACCAACTGTGATACTGTATACTGCGTGATGGAGGTTAATGATTTTAGACGTCCCATTACAGAAGATAATGCAAGTTCTTGCTCTCAAGTGTGTCACACAGTCTTTTACTTGCCACTGGCATGTCTACAGTCGGATTAACTAACCCTCTTGACTCTTTTCTATTTTGCTCTATTCACTATTTATTTCAGCCTTAAAATGGCACACATGCATGTTTTAGTCCCACACCCTCTGTGTTCTATCTGACCTCATTTTGATAAATGTCAGACATTTTGTAGATCGTCTGGAAATCAGTTGCATATTAGTCATGACCTAATTCTTCTGTCCATGTTATTGTGTTTAAAATGTGCTCCTTTAAGGTTTTCTGTGTGTCTGTACTGAAAGATTACCTCTTGGGAATAAACATCCTGTGAGCAGAGTAAAGGATTGTAGCTGCCATGATGAAATAAATAATCACATTTCTATGCAATCAAGTAGATGGATCCTACTGTATAGTGTAATTTTCAGCTCGATTTGAGAACTGTTCCTAATCAGACAAGTATTCACCTGAGCAATGCAGGGCCATAATTAGTGAATAACTGATTCAAAAGTAGTATCAGCATTTATTTAGTGAGTCAAGTAATTATGCACACAGGGGTTTAACATTTTAGCCAGAAACATATTAGGATTTAAACCCATCAGCCATAACATTATGACCACTGACTGCTGAAGTGAATAACAGTGGGTATCTCATTACAGAGGCATCTGTCAGTGTGTGAGACATATTAGGCAGCATTTCCCAGACTAAGGGTTTTGCAGTGGTTAGTACCAACCAACAGTGTCTAAGGAAGGACAAACTGGGAACCAGCAACAGGGTCATGGACGCCCCGAGGCTCACTGATGATGAGGTCGACCTACTGTAGATCCTCTTCAGAAGATTCCATTTAGTTTGAATCTTTGTTAAAATGGGTGAAAATGAGAAAACTGTACATTGGTCTTTATGAAGAGAAGCATTCAGAGGCTATGGTGGTGATATCACACCTAGAGTGGGGAGGCTGGTGAATTAGTCTAAAACATGATCTCTAAACTGTCGTCACGACCACAGTTTTCACTCCTTTTACATAGATTTTCACTGAATGGTCGACAAATCTGTGCTCTACCTGAGCTGCAGAGTGACACGAGTGCCAACCCACTGCTGCACTGACTCCTGTGTCCACAGTATTAGGCAGGTGGTCATAATGTTAAGGGTGATCAGTGTATAATGTTTCATCATAGTAAGTTCTAACTATAGTTTATAGCTATATCTAGCTAAAAGTAATCCAGGTTATTAAGGTGCAATAAATCTTCCCTTCATGAAGGTGGTAATGTTTTGTTTTTGTTGAAAATTGTTTTAGGGAGGTGCTGATACATTGGTGGTACTGTTGAACTGTACTGCATTAAACTGATAGGTATTTCTATTTACTGTATACTAGTGAGACTAGTCTAAATATCAGAAGATTAGTTATCTTTGTATAAACTGAATGTGTTAAACTGTTGTGGTTGTGTCATTTACTAGTTGCTGATGGAAAATCTGTGTTATATTCAATATGTTGTCAAGTAATTCAGTTTAACTGCTGTTTGAAATGTCTTTGTAGTCAGTGAGAAGGACTTCATAAAGTTTTTTTCACACTTGCACTTCAAAAGCAACTCTGGTGCATTTTCCCATTTGTTCTGGTTCATTTATGCTGCTGGGAAAGTTAAGTTCAAACTTAAAATAGCTGGTCAGTGCTGTGTTCATGATGCAGGGTGTTAGTAACCCAAGCTGTGCAATAAAGAAGTTACCTGTCAGTCCGTATAAGTTCATGATTACCCATTTTCTGTGAACACAAAACTTACTAGAATTAAAAGGCAACAATGTCTGATGTTTAGCCCTGCTAGCAGTGTGGCACTCTGGGTGTCTGTCAGTTGGTCCACTACTTTGTTCCAGACTAAAATATTTCAAAAACTGTTGGATGGCTTTTCAAAACTTCCCAGCCAGCGTTCACTTGGAGTATTCCACTGGGTCGAGTGATGCACTGACTGACCACAGACAAGGTTTAAGTTTCTGATAAACATGAGTATAGATTATGGATCGACCTTAGAGATGATTGGGTGCTGTTTCTTGTAACAAAAATATTCATTCATTCATTCATTTTCTACCGCTTAGTCCCTGAACGGGGTCACGGGTGGGGCCGGAGCCAATCCCGGCCGGCAATCGGGCGAAGGCGGGGTACACCCTGGACAGGTCGCCAATCCATCGCAGGGCCATAACAAAAATATTAAGTACAGTAATTAGCATAAATGAAAGTCAAACTATGGCTCCTATAGACTTCATTTGTTGAGATTAAATAGCTAAAACATTATGACTAGAAATTGGACTGAAATATAGCATAGAAAACAAGGCTCACACTATCCAAAGACACTTTTGTTGTATTACCCGATAGCACCTCCAAATCCCCAAATTTCCTGAGAGCTAAGTGGTGATATTTTGAAAATAAACAGTTTACAGCTGAGTTGAAAGCGGTCAGCTATGAGGAACTGCTGGGATTTGATGGCACTCTTGCAAAATATGATGAGAGTATCCTTTTGCACAGATTGTCTGGGTTTAAAAGTCAAGACTGGGCTTTACACAATCATGCTCCAGATATGTTTTTATACAGAAAAGTTAACCAGACAACTCTTGTCGGAGGCCCCAGGGATGCCTGCCACAAGCAGTGCTTTGCATGTGCCAGCATGGTGTTGAGCTCTGGGAGTTCTGGACTGTGAAATCCAATGTTCTTACAGGCAATGTGTGTGACTTGACAAGTATGTTGCTTTATGCAGACAGCAACCAAGGCCAATGGTGTGTTTCTCAACAGAAGCCAAAGACAGGATTATGAAAGAGCCAGCTATGGATAAGTAATTAGTATGAACACATTCCCACCTCACCCCAAACACACACAGTTTATTATGGTTATTTTGTACTTAAGCTTCACAGAACACCTATTGTGGTTATATGAGTTTAATGCAGTGTTATTCTTCAGGGTTTAAAACAAATGTGCATTATAAATTCATCATCACTTCTACAAATCTCATAAAGACCTTCTCCTCTTCTCCTCCTTTGTCACTCCATTCTCTATTAATCCCTCCCCGCTCTGTTCCTTTCTTTTTCATTCTAAATTGGAACTGTTTTATCCATCTGAGGCAGGGCTGCTCACCGCTGACCCAGCTTTGCCCCAGTGTAAAGTGGAGATGTTAATGTTAATTAAATCATTCATTTGGTTCAGATTAATTAGCATCGCGCTACTTTTAAGCTGAGCCGTGGCTAATCAGATTATGGTGAGCGAAGGGCCGAGGTGGGCAGATGGATCCAAAAGAAGCTCACTTTGAAGTCCGACCACCGTCTGTCTGGTGAGGAGGAGGAGGGAGGAGATTCTTTCATGCTCTCTCTCTGTTTTTTCATGTCATTTCATTTCTAATCTGCTTATCTGGTGTGGCAGCAAGCAAACTTGGCTGCAGGTTTTAGTAATGCAGTATCCACTGAGATGTTAGACATGAACAGATACCAAAACAAAAATCCAGCAACCTGCCCATTCACTGTACCAGTAGATCTTGCCCTCTTGTTTGCATTTCATTCTTCTGTTTTTGCTGGTTTCTCTAACCTCCCAGATTCTCTTAAATTACCTTTTTGTCTCTCTCACGTTGTCTCTCAGCTTGCTTCATTCTCTCCCGTTTTTTTCAGATTCTCTCACTATCTTTAAGTTCATAACAATTCTTGTTTCTGTTTAGTTAACAAGCTCTTTCCTGCTTCCTTTCATGTCCCTCTCCTCGAACTCGTCAGGTGTTTGAGGTTTTAATTATTTATTTATACTTTATTTATTTATTCACTTTTTTTTTTTTACTTTTAATGACTTTTTCCACTCTGCAGAGGAGAGGAAATGGTTTTGTGCACAACAAATTATCAATTCCCTTTTGGCATTAGAAGACATTACTTGTTGAATTAATTTCTGTAATATCCCTCTAGGTTGCTTGTTCATGTTTTTTTTAATGTTGTCTTTTCGCTCTATCTGTGAAAACAGTTATTCTCTCATCACCATGGCCTCGGAGTGGTGATGAACACTGGCTGAAGGTTTCCGGTGTTATGTGGGTGATTAACATCAGTTTAAGATGTGTCTCCTCTCTTCTTCACAGTCAGACTCCTAATTGCTTTTTTCTTACCAATATTGCTTTTTTTTACCATTTACAAGAATTACAACTTTCTTTTCATCAAAAATAATATATTATTATTAATAAAGTAGTATGAGCTATAAAAGGTCTAGTTTTCAAAATAAAGTATATACATTAGAATAACAGCAATGGTGATTGCTATTTAAATAAGTTGACTGAAGTAACTGAAATGTTTTACCTCAAAAGCTGAAACAGATATTCTTGTGCTGTAAAATGAATACATTTGCACAACTGTACCTCAAAATAATATTTATCCCAGTTCAGCACTGTGAGAAAACTTATGTGCTTTCTTCCCTGAGGAGATCTGTGTCATGTCAGTATGCTAAATAGGAAGGTAGCCAGCAGCCAGTTAGTCAAGCTTAGTATTTAGTTTTGACACATTGGAAACAGAGAGACTCGCTCTTTTCAGAGGTAAAAAAAATATACACATAAAATAAATAGCTACCCAAAAGAACATCTAAAACTCACAAGTTACTTTAATCCTTTTTGGTGCTAACAAAACACACTTAAATGTTACCATTACATTAGTATAATAGACATCAATTTCCCTTTGAATGTGAACAAAAAAATCCCAACACAGACATACAAATTAAAACCACACATGCGCAGAAATATATGGCACAACTATTGCTAGTAGATCAAATCCTGTAAGTGGAATAGTGCTCCAGTTTTATCAAGCACACGCCATTGTAGCAGCATATAAAGTTTTAATGAAACTCAATCTGTGTAGCAGTAACATGAAAGTTGGTTAGGAAAAAGCACAAAAGGAGAGACAACAGGGAGCGACAATCCCACTGCACCAGTGTTAGCCTTTGTTAAAAAAAGCTCTAGCCACCAGTATTTTCTCATACACAGGTTGTTTTTTTTTTCATAATTCTGAAAAGCTGAAACATGAAATAATTGAGAAAAGAAATTCTCAAGTGAAACAGGGATGTGACCTTTTATAATAAAACTTTGTCTCATAATGAAAACTCATGCTCTTGATGTTGACTGGGGGGAAAAAATGCACGGTTACCTTGCTAGTTAGCTAGCCTGGCTCATCTGAGTCTGACTTATCTTACATACATACAGTTACACTCATATTGTGTTTGTCTGTCTCACTTTTTGTGTCTCTCAACCAGCTCACCTGTACAAGTGCAGAGCGCTGCGGGACAGCTGTGGTATGTGCCTGAAGGCTGACCCCAGGTTTGAATGTGGCTGGTGTGTTCAGGACAGAAAGTGCTCACTCAGGCAGGAGTGCACCGGCGGAGGAAATTCCCACCTCCCACTGCAGCTGGCTGAAGGTGGAGGGTGGATGCATGCCACGTCTGGAAACAGCCGCTGCACCCACCCAAAGATTACAAAGGTAAATGTGTGTATGTGTGTTTGTGCATATGTATGGCTGCATGCATTGAACACAACACCATGCTGATAATGTGTGTATTTGACAGGATGCTATTAATGTGTCTTGTCTTTGTGTAGCTGCAAATGAACAGATGTCACATTATGGCTATGTGTGAAATGTGGCCATTGCTATGTTTATATGTGCATGTGTGAATTTTTTACAGTTAGTTGGGCACAGTAGATAGAAAAAGAACCTTTCCCAGAGAACCAAATATGGTAGAAATTACAGAAAAATTCAGCTGTGTAGACATTATTACATGAATAGACTGTGTTTTAAATTAACTGGTGCTCAGAAACATGCAGTTTGATGCTACTTTGGCAGCATGAGCCCTGACCTCTTTGCTAACACAGCAATGCAAAACCCATACATCCAGCACTAACATAACACTTCCACTGTTGTCGCCTGCACAAACATTCTGTATCTGGAGAAAAGTGGAGGCAGCATAAGTTGAGAGAGTAGAAAGTTATTATTTGTAGGAAAGTTAAAAAAAATACTAAATCCACCATTCACAGTCAGCAACAACCAAAAGAATCCTTCTAATCAAACGTCCCTCCAGTGTGACCGTTCTAAAATCACCTGCAAAGAAAAGTGGTGTGGCTTATTTGAGCACCACATCATAATCTCATCAACTTGTGAGGAGTGTAAAGTCACCTGCAGAGATTCATGTCTGCTAAGCCTTGATAGGCTGTTGCATCAGCTCATTTTGTCAAAGCCCCTGTGGTCACGAAAGCCCTACGTGTCCTGAACTCAGAATGAAAGCTGCCCTATTTTAATGTGTTGCTATTAAAACACACATGTTGGGACCTTGTTCCTGCCCTTGGCACAAACATGGTTTTATTACTATGTTACACCAAACTGGTACTCTACGGATAGAGGCATATATGGATTTGTTTGGTTTTCTTTTGAACAGCTTTGTTATGTTGACTTTTGTGTGTCACTCTCACTGTGTATTATGTCTCTAGAAAACTGGGAGTGGTCAAAATCCAGCATTGGTCAGTTCGGTCAGGTTTTCTTCAAACGTTTTATTTTTTTTTCAGTCAAGATTTTTTTTTTTTTTTGCCCTTCTTTCCCTTAAATAGTCCCATATTTCCTCTGATGCAGGTACAAAACCTGACAAAATTCTCACTTGATATAATCTGTCATCATTTATTTCAAGACCAGTAAGTCATTAAAGCCTCACTTCTTGATTAAATGACCAAATTCAATTGTGTTTTTATAATTATTTGCTAAATAGCATTTTAAAAATAAGACTTTGTGTGATTTTTTTAAATATATCCCAACATTATAGGGTCATGCAATTGCTTCAGAAACATACTGTTGGACCAGTGTTATTCTGACTCTGACTTTACAGAACTGGTAATGCCACTGACAGAATGTTAAACCCTTACTACTAATATACAATATGTTGACATGGAGTGTGGGAGGATGAGCAAATTAAGTAAATGATCAGAACAGAAGACAGAAAAAAGGTGGATGGAGGATGAATTTTCCCCAGTCCTGCTGGTTCTTCCTTTTCTGGTTGTTCCTTGTGCATGAAACCTGCTAAACTATATATCTGTTGTTCCACCCTGTTTCTGCTGCTGCTTCTTGCTATGTATATGCATGCTGTGTTCCCTAACTGGTCATCCATGAAAATGTGTGTATGTTTATGTATGTGTGTGTCTGGATGCTCACTGCATGTTTTGCTGCATGTTATAGCCTACTAAATACATTAGATTTACATATACAGTATGAACAAAGGTGTGAATACTTCTGTAGAGAAGGGAGAGTATCAGTGATGTCTTTTTAAATTATGATGCTAGTACAAGTGGAGTCAGGCTGGGAGTAATAAATGTCTTAAGAGTTATAAAAGCAAAAAGTAAAGAAACATCTCCATATGGGGACAAGAACAGGTGTCACTGTTCACTTGATTTATGGATTCATTTTGCATTGTGTAGCTTCAGAAGAAGTAGGTACAGTAAAAAAAAAGTTTTTTATGAAGTAGATTAACATGAGTACCAATACATTACATACATATGTACATACTTATTCTCTTACTGATGATTCAGAACAAACACAAATACTTTTTTTAAATAAGTGAACAATTTAAGGCTGATTGTGTAACAATGTGTGCTACATTTGACAGGACATACAGCACACACAGAGTATGCTAACCATTCAAAGATTAACCTCTTCAGTAAGTGGCAGGCTAGGGTCAAGATATGGTAAATACTTTAAGATAAACCAGATTAATTAGTATCTGTGGTAACAAAGTTGACTATGACAGTTGCTCAGTGTTGAGATACATGCTGCCTGCCTACAGTAGGTGCTCTGGCTAAACACATAAAAAACCCAGTAATCCTCCAAAGGGAGGTGCCCTGGAGGCATCCTGATAAGATACCCAAACCACCTCAACTAGCTCCTTTCGATGTGAAAGAATCAGCAGTTGTACTCCGAGTCCCTTCCGGCTGCCTGAATTTCACACCCTATCTCTAAGGGTCTGGTACAACATCTGCATAACTGCTGATGCTGCCCCTATCTGCCTGTCAGTTTCACAAACCTGTCAGAAACGGCGCGCGTAATGCGGCCGAAAAGTGTTTGGTGAACTCATTAAATGGCCAGACAAGGAAGTGATGAACAAAACCGTCTCTTTAATAAGAGAACTAAAACTAAACAAAACCATACAAGACAAGGTGAACACAAAACTCACGGTCGTATCAGTCCCAGGTCAGAGCCAGCAAACACATACATCCAGGGGAATCCAAAGTTCGTTGTCCAAAAGAGAAAGTCCGATAATCATACACCGTGGCAGTCCGTAACAAGAGGGCGAGGCAGAATAGAATAGTCCGAGGTAACAGTCCGAGATCAGAAACACAAAATACCAAAACTGAAGAAAATGCTGGAAAGTCAGAGCTGGGGTCTAGAACAATCTGGCAGCGTCCTTGTGGGGGGATGCTGCCTAAATAGAGGTGAACACAGGTGCAGGATAATAAGGAGCAGGTGAAACTAATCTGAGTAAGGAAGAAAGTAAAAAAAACCTAAGCTATGGTGAAACAAAGCAGGAAGTAGAATCAAAATAAAAGCCTGATGGGAAGCAGCGGAACTGAATCATGACAAAACCATTTTACCCTCACTCGTGAACAAGACCCTGAGATACTTAAACTCCTTCACTTGGGGCAGCAACTCACTCCCAACCCAGAGGGAGCAGTCCACCATTTTCCAGCAGAGCACCAGACTTGAAGGTGCTAACTCTCACTCGGCTGCCAACCGCCAAAGTGCATGTTGGAGGTCACGGACTGATGAAACCAACAACATCATCGGAAAATAGCAGAGATGCAATTCCAAGGTCCCCAAACCGGACACTTTCCTCCCCAGCTGTGCCTTGAGATCCTGTCCATGAAAATCACAAGCATGGTTGGTGACAAAGGACAACCCTGAAGAAGGCTGAGACCAACTGGGAACATGTTTGGCCTCTTGCCAAGTATACGGACACAGCTCTCACTCCGGTTATACAGGGAGCTAATGGCTCATACCAACGGCCCCGGTGCCCCATAGTCCGGAAGTACCCCCCACGAGATCCTGTGAGGGACCTGGGTGCAGGCCTTGTCCAAGTCCACAAAACACATGTAGACTGGGATCCCTCCCAGGATCCCTCCAGTAACCTTGCAAGGGTAAAGATTTGGTACATAGTTCCACAACCTGAACAGAATCCACATTGTTCCTCCTGAATCTGAGGTCCAACAATTGGTCAGAACCTCCTTTTCAGCACCCTGGGCATAGGGTTTCCCAGGGAGGCTGAGTACCACGATAAATGGAGGATACTTTCTGGTCACCTTTTTTAGAATGGGAACCACCACCCCAGAAACCCCAAATTGAAAGCATGAGCGTGTTATCAGCTAGGTTTCTCAATATTGCTTGAGCTGATTCTGTCAAAAACAGAAACAAAAACAAAGTCCAGTTCTGAAAAAAGAAATTCCCCAGTTTAGTATTCTCATGGTTTTAAAATATTTGAACATGCGTATTGATTATTTGTTTGTGGCACTATTTCCAAGAAGGACTTTTAAAAATGACCCATTGCAAAGCAAAGTTCCCGGACTCCCAGTCTGTTCAGAATGCCTGAGCAGAATTAACAGCTGTTGACCTTCCATGGCTCGTGTGCTATTGGTTACCACTGAGACCACAGCAAGATTACCATGTTACAAAATACACACACACACACACACACAATGTGTGCATGGGCTGAATGACAGACTACTAAGAAACCACTGCTATACTGATGATTTGATGTGTCTACTATGTGGTTAGTACTGTAGTATAAAGGTCACACCACCACAGTGCGAAGCCACAGGACTTTATGTCCACTGGATTCCTGGTTAGTGGTATTCAAGAGAGTGGCCAAACCTTAACAAAAGTAATGGCAAACAGAAAAAGATTAACCTGATTTATTGCTACTTTTAAACCTTTGGAGAGTCCATGGACTGCATTAATTATAAAGCTAATTCAACTCTGCAGTGTCTTAAAATTTAAAAACACATGGTGGGGGAACCTTTTATCATCATTCATCTTCCATTTTCAGTCAGGACAGTCAGCAGACTGGGATCACTCAGCTGGGATCACTCAGACATTACACAGAATTTGTAGCAGGGAGCTGACACGGTAAAGTCAGCTAAACATCCGGTTCGACTAACTTGGAGATTTGTGCTCTCACATATAGCTCTTCTGGGTAATGTCTGGATAATTTCAGGGTTCCGGTGCATGTGTGAAAAGGGCTTAAGTCAGTCATTAATGATTGGTTAGAGAAAAATTAAATCCTCCCCCCAAACAAAACATCTAACATGAAAAGCAGTGTCATACTGAATAATGAATAGAAACAAAATTGCCATTCAGTCTGGTTATCCAACTAATCAGTGGTTTGTGGCATGATGCTGACAGGGTCTGTATTTTACTAGTATGCATCCACAAGCATTTGTGGTCCTTGTGTC